CTCTAGACACTACACTCTGTCTACACTACACCCAACTACATTTGTTCCATCCTTCCACCTTCAAGGCTAGTTGTGTGATTTTGGGGTAAGTTTCCCAGATCTCAAGGTCTGGTCTCTCTTCTCTTGGCCTCAGGATAAAGGGAGGAATTTCAGGTGAGAGCACTATCTTGGAAAGACAAATTCTCTTTTTACTGTGTGAAGGAAGGATGATGATGATGATGATGATGATGATGATGATGATGATGATGATCTCCCACAAGAGGTTTAGTTAGCCCCCGCTCTCCTTTCCCTTCACCAGCAGGCTAACACCACCTTATTCAGGCAAAACTTTGCCTTGTTATTTATGAAACAGAAAGGGCTTTTTGACGGGGTTGTGTTATTATCTATCATCATCATCATCATCATCATCATCATCATCATCATCATTTATTTATTTATTTATATAGTGCCATCCATGTACATGGCCCTTGACCAACAGTTACAGATTACAATATTTATTACTATTCCAATTACTATGTCTTGTGTTTTGATACTGTCTTAATCTTTTTTTAACTGAACTATCATTTAATTGGGTGTGGGTTTTTTGTATAAATAATGTTTTAACTGTACCCTGTTTGTTTTTGTTTTTAAATGCTGTAGGCCACCTTGGATCCTATATGGAGAAAGGTAGGATATAAATCAAGGAAGGAAAGAAGGAAGGAAGGAAGGAAGGAAGGAAGGAAGGAAGGAAGGAAGGAAGGAAAGAGTCCCCCTTCTTTCCATGTGATTTCTGCCTCTGGTACCAAAGTTTCTGTTAAAGGAGTAATGTCTAGGAAGACATCCATTTTGTTAATTGGGATACACTGATATTCTTCTTTAAAAAGACAAACAGTCACTCTTGTTGATCCGCTTCAATTTGAAATCCAGCCAGATTTGCAGGGAGTGTAAGATTTTTCAGGGAGTGTAATTTTGTAGGGTTGTGTAAGAAGATTTTTCCAAACTTCAAGTCTTAACCAGCTGACTTTGTGGGTTTATTTTTAAAAACAAAATTCTCCTCCTTTTTCTTCCTGCTTTTCTGTTGATTACTGTTGGCTTGAAACAGTTATGACCCAACTCCTTGGCAGTTGCCCAAGGAAGGAGAGACGGAGTATGAGACGGAGGAAGAAAGGAACATAGGAGACCAGCAAATGTCATCCGATAACCGTGAACTTTCAGCGGCGTCTGAGAGCAAAGAATAGACGGGGCACCATTGACTGTGCCATTTGCACCGGAGAAGCAGAGAGGAGCCAGGCGAAGGAGACAAAAACAGCAGCAACCTGTAGCAGGCCTGGGATTTGTCTTTTTAAATGTTTCACTCGCTAAATAAAGAACCAGATAGTCAAAAAACAAGGCAGTTCAGCACCCAGTGCAAAAGTCAACACAGAGAACATACAGGCAGGCAGACCTCAGTTAACAGAACAGCTAATAAAGATACTTATCTTGAGAAAAACTTTTTGCCATATCAGCCCCCTTTTCCTCCTCAGTCTCTGTCTACCTGGAGGTTTTTCAGCAACATCAGCAAGGTGATTTCTAGCAGGTGCAGACTGCACTGGGTGACACCTCAGAGCAGCGATACAGACTTGAGTCAATTGACTTGGATTTAAGTCAGGTCACTTCAATGACTTGACTCGGACTTGACTTGATAAAAATGACACACTGACTCGGCTTGGCTTGAGATTTGTATATTTTTAGTGACTGAGGCCCTGTACAGACTGGCCAAAAGGGCTGGTCTGGAGGTAGAGTTGGGGCATGGCAACCACATGCCGGCCACCCCGACTCTGCCCCGATGTTGCCGTCATGCTGTGTGCCCCACCACACGGTGGACAGCGTCAGGGCACTCCCTTGGAGCAGCGTTCAGACACGCTGCGCCAAAGGAGCTGTGCCTTTTTGCTGCTCTAAGAAGGAGTGGCATTTGCCAGCTCTTTATAGAGTGGCAAAGTGCCGGATCGGAGTCATAGCGTATGGTTGCTGCGGCCCCGATCTGGCAAGGAAAGGGGCGATGGGATGGCACCCCTTAGGGTGCCATTCACTTCCAGCAGCAGGCAACAGTCACCCTCAAAATGCAGACACATTTCTCAGGAGGGAACAGCAAATGCGGTAGGCAATGGGCTTGAGGCAGAAGGATCCTTCTAAAGCCAAATTCTATGTTAAACAGGTAATGCCTATGAACACATCTGCTTTGTTAACTAAGATCCAAAACACACTGCAGAAATAATCCAGTTTTTACTGCCCTGGCTCAGGGCTAAGTATTTCAGGGAACAGTAGTTTGTTGTGGCACCAAAACTCTCTGAAAGAGAAGGCTAAATGTCTCACAAAACTACAGTTCCCAGGATTCCCTAACATTGAGCCAGGGCACTTAAAGCGGTCTCAAACTGGATTATTTCTGCAATGTGTTTTGGACCTAAGGCATACCTGTAGTACGAATGTACCAGAGATGTACCCATGATGGAAAGGGCAGAGAGTGAGTGAAAAGAGAGTGAATCTAAGAATTCACCAGTTTTTTCCCTTTCTCTGGCTGAACATCATCATCATCATCATCATCATCATCATCATCATCATCATCATCATCATCATAATAATAATAATATAGTTTATTTATATACCGCCCCAGTGGCAAACCAATCTAGGCGGTGAACAATACTAATAAAATACATCGAGTAAAACAATGTCAATCCCTCCTCCCCCCCTTAAAAATTTATTAAATCAATTACAAAATTAAAACGACTGCAATTTGTTGTGACCAGCATTCTCATCAATTGGCAAAGGTGGCAAAATAAATTGTAGGAAAGCTCTGGGTCCACAGTTCACAGTTCTATTTATCTGGAAGATCTGGAGCAAAAGGTAACCTTTTAAAAAATGTTTTAAGGAATTTATGGAGCGGCTTCAGTGCTGAATGGGCCGGATGCATTCCAGATTGTTCACACCAGAACCAAGGCGGTTGTGATGGCAAAATGAATAAACAAACACATGGCGGGTGTTGGGGGTTTGCTGTAGATATAATAAATTTTATGCAGGGATTCTCTGATACTTGAAAATTACTTCAAGGCATTCCTCCAAGGTAAAAAGATTGAGAAAGGCCACATTTTACCATGCTGGTTCTCTTTTTAACTTATCCTTTTAACAAGATTATTTGCATTTTTCAAAAATCTTTTATTATAATTCTAGCGGGGGGGTGTGATCTAGCAATATTTCCTTTCCATCTATGCTGTGCACCTCCTTGGATCCCATGTTGGGGAAAAAGCAAGACAGAACTTGAAATAAACACATGCATGCATGCTCTGACATTGCTTTCCAAAAATGAAACCACCACACTGCAAAGATCAACAATGGTAGTTGCATTGCCATTTTCCCCTATTGTCTGGATGTCTGCTGCTGCAGCTGTAACCAACTAAGTTTCAATTGATTCCCCTTTTTGTTTTATTTTATTTTTTTACTAAAATGTTCCTGCGCCAGATGTTTTCCAACAGCACGTCATGCGCGGCGAAGCACGCAACCCAGACGCTGCTTTGAACAGAACATGCTGCCGATCATAATTTGGGGCAGAAGGAATTGTTTCTCTGCTCAAAGGGAACTTGTGGAGGGGATTGCAGCGGGGAGATGAACCCTCCAAAACAGAACCTCCTGTGATCGTATTTCAAACTAAGAGAGAAAGCTGGGTGGAAAAATGGGCAAGACGGGAGACTTGTTCCCCAATATCCCATAGGACACAAGATCTGTAGGATGCTTCAAATACCATAATGTGCCTTGGAGGTCTCTGATTCATAAGGTCACCATAAGTCAAAGTCAACTTGGCAGCAAATAGCAACAACAACCAAAAGACTGGTCTCTACCTGGAGGTTTTGTTAAAAGGCTAGACACCCAAATGCCCCCCCAAGAGAAATGTCTAAGTTAGGAAAACGGCATTGCAAGTTGTTCTTGCTTCTTGTTAACTGCCCTTGAGTCCATCTTGTCTCAAGGCAGCCCTGCGGATGAGACATCTCCAAGACCCCTGTCCTCAATGGCTCTGCTCAGGTCCTGCAGGTTGAGGCCCATAACCTCCTTGACCGAGTCTAGCCTGCGGTTGTCCTCTCCTTTTACTGCCTCCACGTTGTTTCCAACTTATGGCGACCCTACGGAGAACCAATTATGGGGTTTCCTTGGCAAGATTTGTTCAGAGGAGGTTTGCCATAGCAAATCAAATCTAAACTCTCCCTAGAAGCCAAGATGACTAAACGGAGGCTGTTGTATTTTGTATCATGAGAAGTCAGGACTCTCTAGAAAAGACAATAAGCTGGAGGGCTGAAGATTCCTCACTCCACCATATAAAGCAAAGCAGCTTCATTTATATACCGCTTCATATCGCGCTATGCAGTGTCTAAGCGGTTTACAACTGTAAGCTCATTGCCCCCCAACCGCTGGGTACTCATTTTAGCGACCTCGGAAGGATGCAGGACTAAGTCTAGCCTGAGCCCTGGCTAGTATTGAACTCGCAACCTTGTGATTTATGAGTGAGTGGCTGCAGTACAGGCATTTAACCACTGGGCCACCAGGGCTCTTATATAAGCCTAAATCCCATTGGCAGACCCATTGATTCAAACACTGAATTCAGCATTGTGTAAATCTGATTGTTCTACTCTGCCTGGAATCCACAAATAGTATTCACACTATAGGATTCTTAGATCCCATCTCAATTGAGACAATTTCTGCAGAGATGCTGAGAGTGGAATTCTTCTTTCCTTTCTGATGTCTTGGCTCGCTTTCTAGAGGTGAACTTCATTTTTAAAAGAGAGTAAATTAGAAAAATAACACTTGACTTGTGTGCGTTTCCAGCTTTTTTCCATCTCACACCATAATTTTTGTTGTTGTCGTGTGCCTTCAAGTTTTTCCCCAACTAAGGTGAACCTCTCATGGGGTTTTCTTGGCAGGATTTGTTCAAAGGTTTGCACTGTCTTTCCCTAAAGCTGAGCATGTATGACTTGACCAGTGTCACCAAGTAGATTTAATGGCCGAACAGGAATTGAACCCTGGTCTCCAAAGCCATAGTCCAATACCCAAACCACTGTGCTACACTGGCTCTCACATCACAATACTATTAATATAAAAACACAAAAGAATCCAGTAGTGTCTTTGAGACTAACTGGGAACAAAAAATTTTTAGCATAAGCTTTGATGGAGACAGTCTACTTCAGAGTGGAGCACCTATGGATAGACAGATATACAGGTGTGTGTGTGTATGTGAGAGAGAAATAATGGAATTGTTTTTTGGGGGGTCGATACCAATTTAAGGATGGCTGAGACACAGGTAAGAGACAAGTTTTGTAGATAAGCTCTGATAAGCAGGTAAACAAGTGTAGAGGAAAGTCTGTCTAGTACATTGGGGTAGGTGCAAGACCAGTAAAATATTCTTCAAAGTAAAAAGAGAATTCTTTAACATACAGGCATAATTCGGTTAATTAAGCCTCTTGGCAAGAAAAAGCTCCCTTTTCAGAGGGCTTTTTATAACTGCCCAGCCCTTTCCTCCTTCTCCTCTGTCAAGCTGGAGCTTTTAGTAGCACTGATATTCAGAGGATGGAGAACAGAGAAACAGACTTTTAATGTCAGGTTGCAGCAGCATGTCTGCAGTAAACAATGCAATAGAGCTTGAGCTGGGGAAAAATGAGATTCAGCTGTGGCTGATCCTACTATAACCGTGTGTGCCTCCCTACAACAGGCAAGGTAAAACAGCAGCTGCCCCCAGAAACCCATATTGAGCATGGCTGAACAGAAAAAAAGTGGGAAGGGGACAGCAAATAGAGCTGCCTCTCCACAAACATCCAGAATGTTAATAAAAAGAAGCAGCAGCAGCATAGATCTGTATGCTTGGTCACCCAAATGGGAATCCTAAAAATGGAAACTGGTGGAAGAAAGAAAAAAACATCCCTGGATGCTGGATTTTAGAAGCATTCAACTGCTGTCTGGAAGGTTCAAGATGCTTTTGGGTGTCTTATGCAAGGTTTACCTGACCATTCACATGTGCATATTAGTGAATTACAGTGGGCCCTCCACATTCCCAGGGGCTAAGGGTGCAGGACCCCCGTGAAAGTGGAAAAACCACAAATAAAAAACTCCACTATTTTTTTTTAACCTGAGAGAACACCTCTCTAGGAATTTCTAGGTCTTCCAGCACAACTCTTATGATCCACATCCACCAGATGCTGCCCACAGAACCATGCTAGAGGACCTACAAATGCCCAAAGAAACATTTTGTCTAGGAACCTCTCGATCCTCCAGTGTGACTCTATGGTCAACATCCAGCAGTCATGCTGGAGGACCTAGAGATTCCTAGAGCACATATTAATCAAATCTGCAAGGCAAAGCCAGAAATATGGAGGGTTGACTGTAAATGTTTTGCTGACACAGGCTAAATATTTTTTGTGGTGTAGGGACAGTCTCCCTATGCTTTCCATCTTATTTCTACCTCTGGTACCAAAACTTTTGGGCCTGGAACACATCTACTTCAATTAAGTGAGATACACCAGTATTAGCATCTATTTATATATACCTGGAATGTCAGTTGTGAAGAATTCCTGCCCCATTATATACTCTGCTGATGACATTTTAAAGATCAGATAGGTTAGTTGTACACTATTTGCTTTTGAAGGGATTTATAGTAGGCCAAGCTATTTGTTAGATTAACTTTCCTACAACTAGTCCTCAGAAGTTCAATGGGCTTGGCAAAATCAGTTGCAGAAAAATGCCCCAATATGTTTGGGAGTAGACTTGGAACAAAATAAATTGTCTTGTTCTGTTGTTGCAGCCTCAAAGCTCTTGTGACAAGTGTGTTTGCTGTACAATGAAGACACACCAGTGGGGAAGCACTTCTGTCCCAGATGAACTGAAATGAACAGAAATGTTATTGCATTACTCTGGAATGACCTGCCGGACAAGATCCGTCACCTGACATCATTAGACAGCTTTAAAAAGGCTGTCAAGACGGATCTCTTCCAGCAGGCCTTCCCAGATTAATATTCCGGTCTTGGGTACAACTGTCCCACCCCAGCATATGATCCTTCGTGGCCCCATCTGAGGATGGTGAGGATTATTATTGCTGGGCTGTTTTACTGGGCAAGTTTGTTTTAATATGAATTAATTGTATGGTTTTTTAATAATTCTTGATTTAATACTGTTTTAAGGGGGGAGGGGGTTGTTATATTGTATATATGTTTTATGGGGATTGTATATTTTATTGTTGTAAGCCGCCCAGATTGGTTTTCCAGAGGGCGGGATATAAATAAATTTTATTATTATTATTATTATTACATTTTGGGTAGAGGATGTTCCTGACAAGTAATACCTCATGTAAAATATCACGTCAATCTATGTATGTATGTTTGTATGAATCTGAGAGGCATTTCTTGAGATGGTCTTGTGAGTTGGACTTCCAAATGCCCAACAAACCCCAGGCGCCAACCTCTTGAAATTAACAGTGATACAAGATGCAGTGAGAGATTTTAATTGTACACCACTTTTGGCACTGTACAAAGAAACATTTACAGAGATCCACAGTGGCTTGGTTATTTACATTTGCTCCTAGAATTTCCTCCCCAGCACGACTCCTGGCCCAAAGCTCTTCTGCACCAAAAGCATCCTTGGCCGCCTTCTCCTCTCTCTTGGGCCACTTTCGGGAGGTGCTTCAGGTGGATCATTGAAACAGCTCAGAGCTACTTTGGGCTACTCACCAGGACATCCAACTGCCCTCCCTTCTTTGGAAGTAACACGTAGCCTTCCTCAGTTTCCCTTTTCTTCCCACTAACACATCCTCTACCATCACCTCCCAAACCTTCTCACGACATACTTTTGCCCTCTTTTGCTTCCAACAGTAGGCATCTTTTGATGCCCTCCAAAAACAGCCTCTTCCTTTGCGCTCATGATACTTTTTCTGCTTTCCCTAAGCCTTCTGTGACATTTCCTTAAACCTTCTGCATTCACTGTGATGATCTCCATTCAGTAGTTCAGAGCACACAAGCTGCTCTACAGGCCTGTGGCAGTCAACCCAAAATGCTACATCAAAATGAACCTCACCTCTTCCACCCCATCCCCAGCAAGATTGCCACCTGCTGATCATTTAGGTTCTCCTCTACCTTTTTTTTTTGGAGTGTGGTTGAGATCTGACAACTCAATTCCTCCTGTCTAAAGTAGAGCTACTGTAAAAGGCACAAGCACCCCAGATCAGCTGGGGGTGGGTGGGGAGGAACTGTGTTCTCCCATTTCCCCAATGGCTCAAGAACATATGGCTTTTGCTTCACCCAGTCAAGACTCGAATTGGCTTTTAAATATACATAACATACACTCCACAAAAATCAAATACATAAAAAAAAGAGAAGCCAATCCAAATGTTGAAAAAATCCACTGAAATCAAAGTACAAAAAGAGTTCCCTATAAACTTATTCAAATAATAATAAAAAAAAGATTAAATACTTGACAATTCATGTCAATTCACACAGGGAATGTACAACAACAAAAAATACAGAGTTCCAGTCAAGAAGATGGAAACCTGTTGAACTTGAAAGTCTGTTTTCTTGAGAAATGGTGGGCATTGGACCTCAAATGGCCCATCTATGGTATAAATGCCAGAGTAATTCTGTTGGCTTTTATTTAAGACTGCTCCAAATTAAGAGTGCTGGGATTTCTTTATAAATCTGAATCACACTGGAAGTCCATTTTAAATAATCATTTTACAGTGTTCTCAGGAGAAAAGTAGGCTTTCAAAGTTTTCTAAATCCTCAGTGAATCAAACCTTCATAATTTGCCATTTTCTCAGTGAAAACTCCAGTGGTAGCAGTGATATTATCATACCACACTTCCCAAAAAGTGGATAGGTCACACTATAATCCTATAGGCAGGCCCTACATTTCCTCTCCCAGAACAGACTCCAGTTCAACAAATGGTTTGCAGAAAAACCAGTAGCTGCCATAAACATAAACAACAACAAACAACAGAAACCACACAGACGTTTCAGAAGGAGTAACCCCCCACTTTCTCACATTACAAGAAAATGTACACTTTATTTATAAATAAACAGTGGAGAATGGCGTCCGTCTCCTTTAGACAAGGGTCTCTTTCCGTTTGCCACTGAGCTGACATTTCTCCCGCGTCCTCCGCAGACCTGAATGCATCCGATACATCTTGGCGCACTTGGATTCCTCATTTGTGTCCATCACGGAGTGGCCGTCTGGTGCGTTCTCATCAAGCTCCATGTGAATGCTGCCAGAGAGCGTGGACTGCCTCCTTAGGATTTTGGCACCGGACAGGAAGGGATTGTTCTCTTCCACTTCCTCACTGAGCTCTGGCAGCTCTTTGAGCTCGGAAGGCACAACTGCTGGCTGGTAGGGTGCGATGGCAGAGCGGATGCAGTTGAACCACTGCTGCTTGTGGAAGATATCATTGGCCTGCAGCGTATGGGACTGGCCTGGGGCGGGGTCCCTGAAGCGGACGCGGAAGATGTTTTTCGCTAGGAAGGGGAGAGGAAAGGAAAGAGTGTCGTGTTAGGTTTGTTTGACAGAGTTCAAGTAGCAACTGCAAGTTGTGGCTTCATTCCCGAGGAAGATCCAAGAAGAACACACCAGTTGCCTACAATTTTGTTATAGTGAAGGGTGGGCAAACTGAGCTGCCATAGGCCACGTGCTGAAGTCCACTTTTGTGGCCCTTGAAGCCCCCCCACCCCATCCCTCCAGCAAGTTTTAACAAAACTTTTTCGCATGATTTTGTCATTGTTTGCCCTGAGACCACAAAGAGTCCTCAAAATCCATTAAAACATTGTAAATACCCCCCCAATCCCAATCCCCACAATACCCCAGAAACACTTTACTCCCAAACACCCTGTTTTCTTCTGCAATCCCTCATGATATGATACTACTTTCTGTGACCATTTTGAGGGATTGCAAAGGAAAATGGGAAGTATCTGGACTTGATGTTGGGGGGAGACATTGCCCATGGGGTGGGAAATTGTCCCTTGGCCTCCATCCAATTGCTCATCCCTGCTATAGGGCAATCAGGTCCATATGCCAGGCAGGAAAGCTTCTTACGCTAGTACAC